CTTGCACCTCAGCTCTTATCTGCAAGTACCGTTGAAAATTTGGAGGCACCACTTCACGCGCCGGCACTGGTGGTTCAAATTCATCATTAGACCAGTTGGTAGCTCCTTCGCCTTCGTCCTCGATTATCATGTTATGTAAAATGATACACGACAACATAATTTCGCTAAGATCTTCTTTATACCAAAAACGAGAAGGACCCCGTATAATTGCCCACCTTGACTGGAGGACCCCAAAAGCACGCTCAACGTCTTTTCTTGCAGCCTCTTGCCTTTGCTTGAATGTTTTTCCTTTTTGGATCCTCTGGACATTGAAAGCTTTTGACAAATGTAGCCCACTCTGGATAGATACCGTCTGTTAAATAGTATCCCTTGGTGTATTGAGTCCCGTTTACCACAAAATTGACTTCTGGAGCTACACCATGTAAAACATCATTAAATAAAGGAGATCGTGAAGTACATTTATATCATTTCGTGAGCCCGCAAGCCCAAAACATGCGTGCCAGATCCATAGGTCTTGTGATGCCACTGCTTCAAGCATAATCGTGGGTACCCCATGGTCCCCTCGAGTGTACGAGCCTTGCCATCCAACTGGACAATGTTTCCACTCCCAGTGCATACAATCTAGACTTCCCAACATGCCAGGAAAACCATGTTTCTCCTCGTGTAATGTAAGTATTCTTTGGATGTCATTGGCATTTGGGGGCCGCAAATATTGGGGTGCATATATTTCTCGCACATCACAACAAAACTCGAGCAGACTTCGATTCGCCGTCTGCTCTGACATACGAAGGTATTCGTCACATTGATCGGCAGGAGCTCCGTACGCTAGTTGACGTATAGCCGCAGTACATTTCTGAATTGGTGTAAAACCTGGTCTTCGTACCGCATTTGATTTACACTTAAAATAATCAGAATAGCTTTCGACATCCTGAACGATCCGACAAAATAGTCGTCTGGACATACGGAATCTACGACGAAAATAGCCTTCGTGGTATATGGGACCGGGAGCAAAATAATCTTTTATCAGCAGGGCATGTCCAGCTTCACGATTTCGAGGCACTTCTCGTCTTTCACGCCTACTTGAACTTTCATCTTGCCCGCCTTGCTGCAAGTGCATAGCCGTGGCCTCCATCAAGGCAAATTCAGCTTGTTCCAAAGAGTCGTCAAGCATATCGTTCAAGAAAGAACGATATGAGACTCTATCGTTATTACGGCCAACCATTTTAGAAAATTGAAAAATATTTATATTTGTGAAAATTGGGAAAACAATAAGAAGGAAGAATAAAGAAGGAATTGAAAGATGTTTTTGGATGTGGTTGTGTAGTTGATGATACTATACTATTTATAGTAAAAAGTGATTGTGTTGGTTAGGATGTGTTAAGTGGCATGTGTGGTGGAGTAAGTGAGAAGTGTGGTGTAATAATGTGATAGGTATTATGTTGTAGTGGTTAGTTTGTTAGGTTTAATATATTAGGTGAAAAGTGTGTAGTGGGTAATAAATCAAATGTGGATGTTGAACCAATAGATAAACACTGTAACTCTTAATAATATGTATGTTATTTTTGGTGAAATAAAACTAACATTATTTTTGTCTCCGAATAAATTTTGAATTTAATTGTATGGTATAAGAACGTGTTAGATGTGTTTTTAAAAAAACAAGTGAAAAAATGAGCTCTTTTTAAAATAGATCAAACAACAACAAACATTGCTTACACTCATAAAATTTAACACAATACATAATAACTTAGATAAACAAGGCATAACATTTAAATTATAGAACGATAAAAACTTCAAACAACATAAATAATCAGTTTAGATCCAACTCTTCTTTAAGCACGGCAAGAAGTCCCTAGTGGGCTTGCAATTCTTCTTCTGTCATGGTTGAATTATCCTCCTTTAGCATTTCTCTGTACGTCTTCCATGACTCTATACGAACTAGTTTTTCCAAATCCTTTTGTTTCTTCAGATGAATTTCTTTAACCTGACCAATCTCAGCCAACAGACGGTCGACATCTGCACCGGTGCTTCCTCCTGCTGTTGCTTTTCTCTTTCTCTTCCCAACCTTTGCTGCTTTTTGGCCAATTGATCGACGCACATATCTGTCCTCACCATCACTACTAGGCTCGACATCTTGCCCAGAGCCAGAAGTGTGATCTCCAGTATCAGATATTCTGGCTTTCTTTCCTCCTCGGGTTGTCTGAGATGCCCCATCAAATTTGGCATTATTTTTCAATACCTCCCAACAATGAAGCCATTTAAAGCCTCCTTTCTTTTTTCCCTCGCTATTCCACTCCATTAATGCATTCTGCAAAACAATTGCATTATTTTCACCACTTCTTTGATCAGCCCGAAACCTGTTTATTGACGCGTTAAATTTTAGGCAATCTCCATGAAACGCATAAAAATGAGATTTTGCTGACTTCATAGTTCTCTGAGTGAGGTTTCGTGCTTCACCAGCTTCATTATAGTACTGTACAATTCGCCTCCAAAAACCTTTGGACGTTTGCTGAGCGCCAATGACCGGATCACTTGAGATGGTACAGAAAGCTCGACATAGTAAAACATCCTCATCATGTGTCCACGGCATTGCTGTCGCTTTACCCCGTCTTTTAGGCTCAACTTCTTTGGTTTTTTCTGAATCCGTATCAAGGCAAATGTTGTCAAGTCCTTCAACCTCCGGGATCGTGCAAGGTCTTGGGACTTCAATGGGGCTACTAGAGAATCCAGTCGGCATGAAATTTCCTTGTTGATAAGGCATCCCAAATGCATTCGGCATGCCATATTGGGCGGCATTGACCACATATACTGAGATTGATTCATGGTCATTAAATTTGGTGATGGGGGAAAGGAATTTTGCTCTGAAGTTTGTGAATTTGGATAAGAAAGCATTGGTGCAGGTACTTGAAAAGGAAAATTTTGAAACTGGGGTTGTAGTTGCATTCTAGGAAATTGAGAAAATTGCATATTTCGTGTAAAACGTAAATTTACGGAAGACGGATTGTCATCCTCCGATGAGTTCGGCATATTTGGGTAGGATTTGTATGGATTATTATCCATTACAGCTTGAGAGATATTGAAGATATGACTAATTTTGTTTCCTAATGAAAGATGTAATAGTTTATGGAACATTGTAGAGAAAACAATCTCATTTATAGACAAAAAATTTCAATGGCAATTCTTAGAGCATCTCCAATGCTCCACTTTGAACATTAATTAAATTTGAACACATGTCAAATGATGAATGGAATGTAAATCCATGTAATATGAATGTCAAAAGAGAAGACTTTAACTTGGAATGCAAATCTCCAATGCATCCCTTTCTAAAGCTTAAAATAGGTTAGATTTTTTATGATTGGCTTTCAAACACTCTTTGGAAAACTAGAAAGTGAGCTTCACACTTTGGATGTTTATTGTCTCCATGTCAGCATAAAAGAGTCCATAACATTATGGATTGGAGATTAATTTTTGTTTTCACTTTATAACTTGATGATGTGGTTAACATTTTATTAAGTCAACATCTCACATTAGAGATGCTCTTATCAGTTCAACATTCAAATTAAAGCATCCGACAAATATAAATGGTTGATGGATGACAATACACATGCAGCTTTATCTTTTTGACCATCACCATTCCAAAATCTGACAAAAAAGAAAGAAATAAAAGATTGAAAGCAAATTTAAAGATACTCTTCAATTCAAAGTTGCTGTACAAAATGCAAAAGTTGATGGATGACATTCACTGATGCATGGGACCTTGCTTTTTTTTNTAAAAAACATAAAATTAAATAGAATAACAATTCAAGTTCATAATTCAATAATTTTAATTATAAAATAATAAGCAAATATTTTTAGTGTTCGTTCTTGTTCGAAAATACCTAGTTTTCAATTGTTATTTTTCGAAAACAACGGCAACTCGTTATTATTTTAATTAATTTAAATGTTGCAATAACTATTATAAATTTTTTAAAATAATGTATAATCCTAAGTAATATAAAAAAATATAAAAATTTAGAAAATTTTATTACAAAGGAAAGAGACAAAATTTTATGAAATATAAATAAAAAGTTGATAAAAATAGAGAGAAAAGTTTACTAAATATAAATTAGAAATGAGTAAAGAAAGTTAAATAAATAGATGAAGACTTTTTTATGATAAGTAAAATATTAAAAAAAACGAAAAAAAACAAACCAAACAAAGTGGTGGAGGCAAGTGGGGGACAAGGTGGCAGATTTTTTTGGAGGCATGCTACGCGAGTTTTCAGCTTGTGGTTCACATTCAGTTGTTTTAAATTGGGTGTGTATTTCACGTCCTACTTTTTCAACTTTTTTTTTTTGAAGCTTTAACACGGGAGTGCATTGTCAAAGCTGGTTTGAAAACTCAAACCTTAAAGGGGTGATTGTTTATAAATTCAACTAGATTTTAATTAATTTTTTTGAACTATAGTTAATTTTGAAAAAAAAGATGATATGATTAGTTGTTAGTGGATATATTAAAATAATATTTAAAATAACATAATTAAAGTTGATAGAATGTAAAAGTACGAGAAAAATGATTGGAAGTGATGGTTAGTTAAAATTATGTGAGTGAATGAATAATGAATTAAAGTTGATGCGATGTGTAAGAATGATTGGTTGATATTATTTAATTATATTGATAATATTAGAGATAGTGAAATTGAGTTAAAGTTGAGTTAAATATGAGTTTTGATTGATTTTTTTAATTAAAATGATAAACAATCACTCCCTAAACCTATGTACTTTAATGCTTAAACTTCCAGCTTTGAGTTTACAAACCTGTGCACAAACCTCCCGTTATAGATGCCCTTAGTACACCGATATTGTTCATGCTTATGATCTGGCATTTTCCAGAATATCCACGTGTACACGTAAGAGGCTGTAATCCATCCACGTCGCCCTATCCCTTTTTCTTTTCTCGTCTTTAAAATCCAATCGGTGACCAACTTCCGTCCTTACGTTAACCTTATCAAGAGCGGAAGAAGGANAAGAAAGAAAGAAAAAGAAAAACCTCTACGCAGTGGGAATCATTTCGAAAATCCCCAATCTGCTCATACTAGGGTTTACCGTATTCCAGTTTCCTGTCCTGCGACAAGGAAACAGAGATTGAAAAAGAAAAAAAGGTCAAAAAATGGGGAGCAAAGAGATGAACGTGGTGACGGGTTTGGATATAGAGAGGTACATGGGCAGATGGTTTGAAATTGCTTCTTTCCCTTCGAGATTTCAGCCCAAAAATGGCGTGGACACGAGGGCTACCTACAATCTCAACCCAGACGGCACTGTCCATGTCCTGAACGAGACTTGGAACGACGGCAAAAGGGGCTTCATTGAGGGCACCGCCTACAAGGCCGATCCCAAGAGCGATGAGGCCAAGCTCAAGGTCAGATTCTATGTGCCCCCTTTTCTGCCTATAATTCCGGTCACCGGCGATTATTGGGTGTTGTACATCGACCAGGATTATCAGTATGCGGTGATTGGTCAGCCTTCCAGGAGGTATCTTTGGGTAAGTTCGT